TGACGTTGGATATTGTTGGAAGAAAAAAGGTCGTCTCATGCGGGCTAACCCAACCCGAATTGCATGGGGAGTAATATTGGAGGGAGAAGTTGAGGAAATTGAATTTGTAACTCAATTGAATGCATACAAAATTCGTATGGCAACATAGAGAGAGAGAGAGAGAGGTGTGTGACTTGATTTTGAAATAATAACATTTAAAATTTGGTTCTTGAATTGTGAACATCAAACTCTTCCCATTGTGATCGAGTTTCTCATCAAAGGGGTATTTGATGAGTAAGCAAACAACAAAGAAGGCAACTAATTCAACCTTTCGTTTTTTGGAATTCAAATAAGTTCTATTACCCCAAAGTTGGTAGACAACATGTTAGTAAAATTTTACCGGTACAAAATACTTTCAATTGAAAATTTCTAGATTCTTGTAGCAGGCCCTTCAATAGCAGAATTATCTCAGCAAATTCTAATGAATTCTCGAGTTGGTGTTGAATCTTTAAGAGAGCTGATTTTGTGATGTCTGTTTCAAGGCTAAGTTGAATTGATGTAGATTAATTAGAAGATAAAAATTTAAATCAATTAGAAATGGAAAGAAATACGAAAGATCTATGAAAATGCGCATTACTTTTAGCTCAAGTATTGAATTTCGTTCGTCAGTACAATCAGAAAGTGATTTTCGGTTCTGCACAATTTTGATGGGGGACAATGGCCTTTGACCAACATTGTCTAATTTTCAAGGTCAAATTATATCGTTTAAGAGTCCGTTTTAGCTTCTTTTTTTTTTTTTAATTAATTTAAGGGTATTTTCATATTTTTTTAATTTAAATTTAAATTTGATTTATCTACAAAATTAGGATCTCAATGTGATTATAATTTGTTTTGAGACCCTGTTTGATACATGTTCTTTAAAAAATGGATTATTTCAAAATTCATTTTCAACAACACATTTTTCAATAAAATAATATGACACGCAAATTCAAAACTTTTTCTTATTTTTTAACCACATATTTTCCATCACATCACATCATAAAATGCATTTTCTTCTCCATAATGTGCATCAAACACCCCCTGAATTTATAAATACGAGTTAAGATCGTAAAAATATTACATTCTTTTTTTTTTATTAATAAGACACTTAAGTTTTCTCATTATTTGATGATTTCAAAATATTTGTCACGTGCATTCGAGCAAATACCAATTCATGTATTATTAACAAGATCCTTTTATTATTATTATTTATATTTTCACCCTGCTTTACCAATACCTTTGACGTTGTCGTTAGTTTCTTCATTGTGTGCATGATTAGCTCGTCTCCAATGGTGAGACAAATTTAGTAGCAGACTTTGTCCAAATATTTCATTTGTACCATTCACGATACCAAATCTTTTAAAAACTCACGCCTGGAGTCCAGGTAGATGGTTTTCATCCATTTGACCGTTAGTTGACCATTAAAAAAATTGACATCTTTTGACCAATGTATAGGGGGTAAGATGGTACTTTAATCACATGAAAAGAATAAAATTAAAAAAGAAGAAAATTATTCTTCTCCCACGTCCCAGCCCCAGCCCTAGCCCCAGCCCTAGCCCCAATCTCCAAAATTGATCCGTCGGCACCGTTGTCATTTCAACCACATGAACCAAAGCAAAGTAATCAGTAGATGGAGAAGTCGATGAAGTTTTCACCTCAGGTGAAAGCCCCAGTTTCTTGGGTTCTAGAGCTCGGACTTCAAGTGGCAGCTCGGCCTTTTCAGGCTTCGGACCTGGGGATTCGGATGGTGGCACCACCACCCTTTGAGCTTTCTTGAATTAGAGTGTGTTCGGTAGAGATTAATATCGAATTAAAATTGAAAAACTAATCGTTATTGTTGACTTTTATTAGACGAGTGGGACCCAATAATGATTATATTTTCAATTTTAATTGGATTAAAATCTATACCGAACAAGCCCTTAGTGTTTCTATGGAGGCCATGAAAATTTACTGCCAGACATCATTATATAGCTTACTCATCTGCTTCTTGCCAATAATCTTCGATCCAGTTATAAACCCTCCAATGAGCTCCAATTGTCCGACCTCCTCTCCTTTGCGCAAAGTACAGTCTGAAATTTCTCCATTCACTCTCGAATGGTTAAAACTTAATGTTTATTATATTTTTCTGAAATGGTTGTAGTTGCTCTTTTGTGGTTTGATTTGAGTTTCAAAACTTTGGTTGGATCTGTAGTTTCCATACGTGTTTTTGGCCGGCGACAATAATCATTAATGGTGGCCATGGTGGTGGAATTGGTAGAAAATGGTGGCAAATCTCGGGATTCTTTCGGAAGACTTTCACGACGGTGATGGTGGCGATGGCCAACGAGTGGCGACTGTTTGTTTTGGCTTTGGCTTTGGTTTTGGGGTGCTGGGTGGGGCGGTGTGGGTAAAGACGATAACTGTTGAGTTTGGTTTTTTGTTTTTATTTAATAATTATTATTATTATTATTACAAAGTTACTATTTTACCCTTTTAAAAATTGGTCATTTTTTTAAATGGTCAACAAACGATTGAATGGATGAAAGCCATCTATCTGAACTCCAGGCGTGAATTTTTAAAATATTTGCTAATGTGGTTGACACAAATGAAAGATTTGGGTATATTGTGTTACTAAATAAAATGTTTGGTACCGTGGCTGGAATTTTTCCAATTTGTGCAATATTTTGGCCCTGTTTGATAGCTATTATTTGACAAAAACAAAGTTTTAAAATGTGGATCTTTAGAAAATGTATGATTAAAAAGTAATGAAAAATTTTGGGTTTATATGAAAATATTTTATTGTATATTAGTTAAAAATAAGTATGTAAAAATAAAAAAGAATTTTTTTGATAATGATTGTCAAATAAGGGCTTTATTTTGCCCCCGATTGATTCACATTATTTTCAAAATATATATTTCTCTTTTTTCTTTCAAACACACATTTTTCAATAAAATAATATTATACGTAAATTCAAACTTTCTTCTTATTTTTAATCATACATTCTCCATCAATTTACTATTCCAAAATGCAATCTTAGTATAAAATGGGAAACAAACAGGTTGCAAATATAATTTTTTATTTCACGATTTTAGTAATAATATCATTTTTAATTATTTAAATAAATTTTGGTGTAGGACTATTTTCAATGTTATACAATATTTGTTGCAACTTTTACACCAAATTTAATGTGAAATTTGATGTAATCATTTGAGAAGTTACCCTAAATTGTACCACATTGACGTAAAATTATATCAAATTTGACATTGACCATTGAAGAAAGTCTCTGTCGAGAGTCGAGTCTTCATTTTTGTGGAATGTAAGTTAAGATTTTTGTTTTATAAATTAATGTACGTCTTTAATTTAATTTTCTAAAAAGAAAGAATTTGAAAATTATTAATTTTCTTGTATAATTGTATATAAAAAAATATGCTCTAAGTTAAAACTCAGGTTTTGATACATTTTTATTTATAAATATAGATAAATTCTTATTGCATCATCATTTAATATGATTGATGATTGGTTAGTGCTAGACTATCGATCGCTTCACACTCAATTTCAAGTTGTTGGATAAGTACGACGTATTTAAGTAACATTTAGCAATCACTATATTTTTTCGATGTATATATAATAATTTATAATTGAATTGTTACTGCATTGTCGACTTATTACTAATTTGTTGTTGTCTTGTCAACTTATAGTTAACTTAGCCTTTTGAATTTTTGTTATAGTATTAAAATCGTTAGCGTATCACAACGTGGTATTCGACTTTAGAAGATACAAAATAGTGACATCTTCAAAATTTCAACATGTCAAACACGATAACATATATGATTATTCTACTTGTACATAAGGATAAGGATGATGCTAACTTATATGTTTTACATGCACATGGATACCATTACTGTTTGTATATAATCACGTTTTTGTGTAATCTGAGGTTACCTAAGCATAAATTCCGTAATAGTATGAACATCAATAAAGTCAACTTCCACCTAATTTTTCCATCTCTCCACTCCAAACCACAGATTATTGTGAGGGGTCAATTCAAATCGTCATATAACACGCAACTCCGCTTTTTATACTTGTAGCATCGGAGGAAATCAATCAAGTCAACTGTATTCACCGTCCAAAATCTACAATGGAGGACGAGAACCAAGGCAATATCGCCGATTCAGGAGAACTCGTTCACGACTGGGCCGAATTGACTCGCGAATGCCTCATCAACATCCTATCGCGCCTCTCTTTGGAGGACCGATGGCTGGGAGCAATGCGGGTGTGCAAGGAGTGGCTGCAGGTATGCAAAGATCCGTGCTTCAACTCCGCGTTCGATCTCGAGACTCACTTCGACTCGGTCACTGATTCACCCAGATTCTGGACCCCCGAGTTCGAGAGCAGGATTGATAACATGATTGGATCAGTCGTCGGATGGAGCGGTGGGTCCCTTACCGAAATCCGTGTTAGACACTGCTCGGATCGCTCCCTCTCTTTGGTTGCTCAAAGGTATTTTTGTTTGTTTGCCTGGTGTGCTCGCTTATTCTTGCTTTGTTCCTTTAATTTCCATTGCTGGTTTGGGTTGAGTAGGAACTTTTTGACCTCATACGAAACGACTGCTGTTATTTTCTTAATGTTTATAAATATGTAGCCAATTAGTGGTCAAATTGATTATTGAGAAGGTTCCCATTTTTTTTATTTTTAATAATTTTACTGGACTTTGATTCTTGACATCAGTCAATTTTGGTGCATTTGGTGACTCGAGTTTATTGGTTTCAGCCATGGACTAATTTACAAGGCTTCATTCATATATGATCATTTCTCATTATATTTGGTGTTGATTGAAGCTTAAAATTGCTAATAGGAGAGCATCCGGGCACCAAGAGATTTATTTTTGCCTTTTTATATCTTTTGGATATGGTAAGGATAAACTTCAATCGAGCTGTAACCTGCACTTCTATTTTGTCAAAGTCAAGTCCTTCTCAAAAAAATTGAACGAAGTCTTTTCTTCTGCATAGTTGCAAAACCAAAACTATGCTGTCACGATTGTTCCACTACCTTTTTCTTGTACTTGTGACCAAGATTTCATCTTCTTTCAAGTAATAAGTCTTTTAAGTGGTGAAGATTATTAATTAAACTGGAAAGAAATATTTGATATAATTCAGGACTTCCTTTTTCCATCGAGAAAGCCACAAAGATTTTTGAGAGAAACAAGTTCACATAATTCAAGTTGTTATTGTTCAATAGGAAATGTATTTCTGCCAACCATACAACAGGTCTTGTTGGAATTGAGAGCTGACAATGAGATCATATATCATTTGTAAATCCATGGAATTGCAGAAACTATCAAAATTAACATAGAAGGTGAAAGAATTGATACTTCAAATCTGACAATAATTTCTGAATTTCAAGAAACTTGCAGGGGGTTCCAGGGTTTTGACAGGCTTGGCTTGGGGTTTGGGAATATGACTATTTCATTTCTTTCTAGATCTTGTCTAATGTATTCCACCTCAAGGAACACACTAGCATGTCAAATTCCATGTCTTACTCATTCGAGTCACTAAGGTAAGAATCCAACCCCATGGAGGTTGACATATTACAATTTATAGTGAGTTGTCTTAAGTCACCGTTGACAGTTAAAAAGTGTAATTAACTCATGATTTGTATAAATTTTGCAGAGAGCATCTCTCCATCGGCACTATACACAACCATGTACAGTGTAAACGATGGGTTAAGCTCATGTTAACAATGTGATGAAACATGTTTTCCCTTTTAAAAACTCATACTGTGGTCCCTGTTTTGTTGATTTATTTGCATTTTCATCTGTTACCGAATTTTAGTATTTACCAATAACCAAAAATGTGAGGGAGTTATATGAAAACCAAAAATAAAAAATAAAAAAGCTGCATTCCAGCCAATTCTTAATATCTCCATTCTAACACTAGTTTAATGCATCCAACGATTTTCTTTGCATGTTATAATATATGATCGTATTGCTCTTGCAGGTGTCCAGATATTCAAGTTCTCTCTATCAAGAGTTGTCCTCGTGTCTCTGATGTAATTATGGCTGAAATAGCTTCTGGGTGTCCCAAGCTTAAGGAGCTCGATGTCAGCTATTGTTATCAAATATCTCACAAGTCTTTGGCAACCATTGGATCACATTGTCCTAACTTGCATATTCTTAGGCGGAATCTGATGAATTGGGTGGATCCTTCACAGCATTTTGGAATCGTTCCGAAGGAGTATCTAAGTGCCTATCCCCAGGATGGGGATTCAGAAGTTGCCGCCATTGGAAAATTTATGCCTCATCTTCTGCAACTTGAACTCCAGTTTTCCAAGTTGACAGGCAAAGGACTTGTTCTGCTCTCTGAAGGATGTCGGGACCTTGAGTATATTGATCTATCTGGATGTAGGCGCGTGCCTCGTCAAGCTATGGCATATGCATCATCAAATCTGAAGAAGTTGAAAAACATCAAGCAGCCCAACTTTTATAGCCCGAGGTCTATTTTCCGCATGGAAAGATATGATCATCCGTAATTGTATGATGAGCTTTCCCAATACAGAATTTAACAGGACTGGGAAAGATGTGGAGAGATTCATTGTTAAATTGTCAAGCTACCAGACCTGGTGCATTTCAGTTTCAATTGCTGTCGTAACGGTATGATGAAAGTCTTAATAGCTGCTCAGATCCTTTTGATTTTATTTTGTTTAAATTCTAACTGATGCTATTTGTACTCCTGCTTCTACTTCACTTTTTTTGTTATTTAGATTTGGTCAGACCACCAATCTGTAGGTAGTAATGTCTGTGTAATCTTTTCACCGCACATCTGCAGTTCCATAAATTTGGAGTTTGTGGTTTTTGTACATTTTGCATTATTTTTCTCTTGGCATTTGTTCTCTATATTTGTTACTTTCTGGGAGATATAACTTTTATGCTCGTTTTTTATTTCCAAGTTAACCAATAAAACATTGCCTGGGCCCTGAAGTTCTAGAAACATTAGAAATCAACTATTCAGATTTAAAGGATGCAAGAACAAAGTGCAGAATCATTGACCTAATAAGTAGTTGTGCATCAAATAACATTAAATGTTCCCTAGAGCTGGTAATATGCTTCTGGAACTCATTAGAGAACAGCTTAGAAATATAAATGACCCAAGATTGAAGAGAATCTCATGGTCACAAATACTTTTTGCTTTTCAGCTTGGGTTTGCTTTGATTCCTTAAGCTAATAATTATGGTGGACTAGGCAAATCAGTTAAGCTGTTTTGGGTTTGCCTTGGATTAAGCTTTGCAAAATGTTCAAATTTCTCCTATTCTACTTGTGGATTAGGAAAATCTTCTCTTGAAGACGGAATAGAAAATGGAATTTCAATTCAACTTGTCATGACACTTTATAATGTTATAACTTGTAAAACTATTATATTTGTTCGGTAAATATTAATAAACTAACGTGACATATATCATCTTGTTATGGTGCAAATACTGAAACAGAAAAATATAATTCAGTCCTGAATACTATATTGACATGTAGATATAGACTCCCAGAAATATTGATTAAGATTTCATTATTTGCTACATATAGCTGGAAGGATACTCAAAGACATGTTTGTGTATAACTCAATTACAAGGCTGCTATAGATACTTGTAGTAAACAATCATACAGCTTCCTCAGTGTAACTGGAAAAAGAAAGTGGAAACAAGCCTCCCTTTAATTATATGACCTAGAGTTGCTGTTAAGGAGTTGGAGCCACTGTGTGAATTTTTTGGATGCCTTGTGAGATCTGACCCTCGATAAGTCCCTCTTCTTTTATGAAATACATTGTGCACTCTGTAATGCTCATGTTGATTGCCTTCCATGTCTGGTTTTCTGTAATGTTCATGTTGATTGCCTTCCATGTCTGGTCTAGTGGCATTTGGATTCACTGCTGCAAACGATTTGATATGAAACAAAATCAGTGAGATAGTTGTAAGAGTTCTTAAGAACCAGTTGATGAAATTTGAAAAAAATATCAAATATATTGAGATACTATATGAAAGGTCTGGATCTGCATGGGCCAAGAGTGGGAATTGTGCGATAGTCTTTCTTTGCGATATGCTTTCTTGATTAAAAGATGTTTCATAGATAATGTAGAGTCAATGAATAAGGTGGGTGTGGGGAAGGATAGAGGGGAGTTCGGAATAAGCACGGTGTGCCTTAAAATGCTGGCGACCTGATTTGAATTTAATTGTCAAACAAGTATCTTTTGTAGTTTATCTGAGAAAAAAAATGTTAGACCAAATTATAGTTCACAAAGAAAGTAAATAGAAGAACGAATCTAAAATAGATACTTAGTTCAAAAATAAGTCATTCAATAAAAATTGTTTGATTTTGAAGATAAATCATACCAAATTGTTTAGACTGCAACCCAAGTTGAAGATCTCTGGCTTCCGGGCGGTATTGCAAATGCTGTACATGCCATTGCCAACATTTGTGTGCATATTAAGCAGCAGAGATGACAGTAATTGGTTTTTCATGGTTCAGTTTTGGTGGATAAGCTCTAGGGTGAATGAGCAAAAATAGGATGGGGAATGGATTATGGGCGATTATCTTTATAATTTACTGGACTGGATGTAATTGAACAATAGCCACTGATAAAAAAGATATGGAGCCCAGATCTTTAAAAAATTGTTTTTAAAACAAACCGAGGCTGTAAAAGTGTTCTAAAAGGCCAAGGGAATAAAAGCTTTTATACTTATATGGCATGTTTATCTTTTGAATAAAGCTTCTCGGCCAGGGTGGGAGTGACAGAGAGGTGACCGACTACTCACAAAGAAGTGGGTCCCACGTGGGANTTCCTCGGTGAACCCACATTGCCATGGATAAAGATTAATTTAAAGCTGCACACTCTCACTCGTGCACTAGAATTTTAGTAACTAAGTATTACCTTGAATTTGGATGAGACTTGGCGCACTAAAAGATTCCGTTTCCATTCTTGTCTGTGTAAATTACATGTGAACTTGGTACGCATGTGTTGAAGGTGCAAAACTGAAGCCTCTCCGAACCAAGGCAGGGAGACTGGATATTGAGTCTATGAAACGGCAGATAAAGTATATTGAGTGAGGTAGTGACATGAATAGAGAAGAAAAGCGGGAGTTGGAGTTTATATTTTTAGAGTGAGAATATCAATTTTTTGATTAACTTTGTAAAGCCACCAAGTGTGAGCGAGGCGAAGGAAATGAATTGAGACTCTTTTAATATGTTGTCTTATCCTAAAGACTCATTGTTTAAACTCTATCGTGTTGCCGGATAGCATTCTAGGCATAATAGGTCCTTGACCCCCACACTTTGTCCAATACAGGAAAGGATGGATTTAACCCTAGTTGTACTTGCGAAGATATTACTTCAATTACATCGCACATGCCTCAAAGTGTCAATCTACAACATAATGAATCAGGCTTTGGACCCTAATCGCCTTGAACTTCAGGGGTTCATCCAATGTGGCTAAGGATTGGGTCCCTGCTGATCTCTTTGGATAGGAGAGCTGATAAGTTTGCATAGATTAACACCGTCATGGAGGTTATTTAGGTTGGGATCTCAACACATCGAAATAGAAGGCCATCGAGACAATACCATATATTTCCCATCATATCAACAGTAAAAATGTATTCTTACCTTCAAAATGTGCATCAAACGGGAGCTTAAATTATATTAACTAAATTTTCTTAATTTATATTTATGGAACGGAGTATATTACTTAGCTGTCAATCGTGTGGCCTGCCATGTAGACAAGTGTGTAACAATACATCCTAGGTTCAAGGTCTTGACTATTTATATGAAGCGTTTGACTTTGAAGATAGCAGAGTTTAAGAACTGTACATTCAGACATTTTTGTAAAGGCCCATGGCAAAGACGTTTACTTTTGCTGAAATCGGGAATGCTTTCTTGGCTCACTGCTCCACCCAAAGAGACGACATACTAAGGATTACACGTATAATTTACACGCACTGTAGCATCAATTACATGATTGTAACAATAGTATGGAGATCCTAACCACATAAAATAGTGGAATCCTAATAGTTTAAATTTTTGAGAAAATAAATTTTGAAATTGTAAATTTTTGACGAATGTGTGGTTATTAACGTGTGAAATATTTTATTGTGAGAATGTATGGTTAAAAATAAATTTGAGAAAAAAAGAATTTTATTTTAGTAGTTGTCGAACTTGGGTTTAATTTTAATGAAAAGTTTTGATGCATCAAGTTTTTGAAATTTTCATGTCTAAAAGAGGGAGACGTTCTCGTATCAACCTCAACCGTATTCTATTACTTTTATGTTATATATAATTATGAACTACAACTGTCCAACACCAATATTTAAAATTTCTTACGCAATTGAAACAACTACATAGTTTGTGTTGTTCTTAATTAGACGTTAGTATTAGCTAACGATAATGACCCGACAACAATAGTAAAAGAAAACTATGAGCTCGATATTTTTTATCAACATATTTCATTGTTTCATCGGATTCTCGGAAGATGATGACTATTTTGTCTGTCGTATATTCCTTCACATGCACAATTCAATAGGGGAAATTTCATATCTGGGTGTCGACTTGAACTCAAGACCTTAATCTATTTTATATCAAGCAATATAATTAAAGATATATAACATAGAATACGAAATACCTACGGCAAGAAAATAAGATTTCCAGTAGAAGAACGTTTGTAGTATACGCAGTACAGTACAATCACAACAACAATAAACTAGAATTTTTCAGCAGTCCAACAAATACATTACAAACTCATAAAATATCAGCAAATCAAATCATATACCTCTGTGTTCTTTTCATTTCCTCACGAGAGAAGGGAGATGTTGCAGATGCAGTAATAACAAGAATCAATATATCTCTTAGATCAAGAAGCAGCCAAACAAAATGGAGAAACTGAGAAGAGAACAGAGTTGAAACATAGATTTGTCATTACGATTTGCTGATGATTTTGGTCTTACACGACCGCCTGTGCCGGGATATACCGGTATTGTGCGTACCCTCTTTTTAATTTGGACACCTATCTCCCGAGAGTCTGTAGTGAACAAGTTTCGACTTTGAATTTCATTTGTTTGTTGAGCTGAAGCCGGAAAACTTTGTGACAGTAAGAGGACTGCTATGAATGCTATAGATATTACGCACTTCATTTCTTTCATATTTGAAAAGGCAAGCTGGAAAATGGTGTAGAAATACAGTTCAAAGTTGAGTGGAGGCAGTTGGATTGATTGGGTTGGATTCAATAAATAAAATGTGTCCTTATCCTTTTAAGATAGAATAAGGATTAAAAGCAGAAAATCCCCTTAAAATATTTTCATTTGCGATATATCCTTTCTATTGAAAATCGCATAAAATCTCCATATTCGAAACATTTTGTGCGAAAAATCCTCTACCGTCAAATTTGCCGTTAAAAACAGTAAAAATTAAAAAATAATAATTGCAATTTTAGTATATAGACTTTTATTCATTTACAAATTATACCCAACTTTTTTTATGTACCATCCACGATCCCATA